ACTCCCCCCCCCCCCCCCCGATAACCCACCCACCCCCCTCTCTCGGTGAATCTATCCTTTCTTAGTTGTTGCCAGGATGAGAAATCGATGCAGTTGGGCGGGGTTCAGATATCTACTTATAGTGACACGTTAAAGAGGCCGCTGCACCCACCCCCCACGTAAACACGGAAGTCAGATGTGCCGTATGGATAAAGTTATAATAACTGACCAGACAACTAACCATGACTCCAGGACCATTTATCACTGACCGATTATAGTAATGATAGTGTAAGTTGCAGAAGTGTAAGTTGTTTGTTTAGGCCCAAAATAAGTCCAGTAAACAACTTGTTGACGGTTTCTTGGAAGATGAGATATAAGGACAAATGTTTTCAATTTACGATCTATTTACGAGTTAGTCTGAAAAGTGGCCAAAGATTTTGATACGCGCCTTGAGTAGACGGTGTCTGATAAAGTTGGACTAACAACAATCATCAAATCTGATCTACGTTCATTCCGAAGTAAGTCGCGTGCCGTGTCGTTTTTAATTTAATGGCGGCCGGTGCTTGTGGAGAGTGGGAATTGATGGGGTGATAAGAAGAATCGGCCCAGCTTCAATGTATATTGTCTTACGATGGACTGACTTGTAAAGTTCTGTGCATCTGAGCTCATCTGGCTGCTACCACGGCTCTCAAGCAGCAAGACATCACACGGAATAGGATTTTTTTTTAGTTTAATCTGGAATAACATACCAGACATCGATCAAAACTTGCTCAATTTGGTTCAGTATTGGCCCGACATTGACCAATTGAACCCATTTGGGATGTTCTGGATCACCGTATCAGGCAAAAAGTCAAGTTTAAGGAAACATCTAATACATGTACTTTAATGTTAGATTTTAATTTATCCTTGGACATGAGAACGAATTTTATCCATGATTTATCACAGCTGTTTTAGTTTTTATACAGTATGTAAATGTAAACAGAGCTGAGACGCACGTGAAGCGCGGTTTTAAGAAATCTATTCTTCTTCTTCTTCTTCTTCTTATTATTATTATCTACCAACTTCGTATGGTACTCCAGAATGAAGGGCACAGCATACCCCAGCACATGATTAACCACATGCTCAAATACGTCCGTGCGCCGTCTGTGTACCACTTAACGTAAGACCAATGGCGGGCACACTCGCCACTAACCTCTGTGAAGTCGCAATAAGACCCACCTACGTGCTCTTGATGCAATTACACGTTGGTTATTGATTTTTAATTGACTGTTATGCCCACAAATTAATGCTTAGTTGTTTAAGATAATACACTGCTATTATTGTTCAAAATTGTAGATAATTTCATAATGATAAATCACTGTTATCTTCGTGCGTTTATATTTTGTTTCAGTATAATTGCGATAAGAACGATGTATTATCTGTCTCACTGTCACAACTACCGCACTAGTGTCATCTCTTCTCTGACACAATATATGACACTTTCACATGCGACATGATACATGTACCGACTATTCTTTAAGCAAACACCCAGTGCTTTATTTCAGTGAAATGACAAAATATGTTAGAAAGTAGGAAACTATTCTCATTATCTATTTAAGACGAGGCATTGCAACTAGTACTCTCAAATATGGCGAAAAAATTGCGTTGAAACAGCAAAGCATACGATTGTGCCGTGAGTGCGCACGAACACTGACATTCTGCCCCTATTTGTTATATACAGGATACAAAACTCTAACCTACTATTTATCATTACTCCACTTTCGTTACTCTAAAGTGGTTTATATTACGACATGTTTATAAAAGCTTTTGTGACAATTATTACTGAAAGTTTTGAAAGTAATTATTTGAAGTACAGGTATATTAGTCTATATCTCATATTGCCATCATTTTAGCACGAGTGTTTGTAAAAAGGAATACAGGAACGGACTAACATCCAATGCATTTATTTGACTTGCAAAAGCTAACAGATGATTTACGTCTAAATGAGATATATATATCACCAAATATTATTTTATAATTCCAGACATTTAGATAAATATAGGTTATTTGATGCGATTAAGAACAATGTCAACATAAAGTTCAAATTTCCAAGTCCACTTCTTTTGCTTTGCTATGTGAAAAGGTACCTCATCAACACATCTTGGGCTAGGGGACTAATATACTTAAATAAGATATTTCATTATAGCATGGCCTATATACATGTATTATAATTTATTTCACTATTTTCCGGAAAACCATTTCTCTGATACAGTTAAGGCTATATGATGTACAAAAGCTGCATTTAAAAGAGATTCGTCTTTAATCTTAAAAGCAAGGTTTAAGAGGGATCGCCCGCTTTTAACATAAATATCGCGAATTGGCGTAATATTACGTGGAATTTCATGGTATTTTTGATGATATCATTTTTTGCCCCTTTATAAAGTTATGTTCACTTAAGATACCTTTCTCTGATAACAAGATTTCATTACGAATTGCCAAATAGTAGGAGACACTGACAATGGATCTACATTGGACGACACTGGGTCGACGTTGGCTCACTCAGGGCCTAGCCGGCGCGTTACCCGAGGCTGCGGCCGCTCTGGCAGTCAGCATAGAAGGCAGACCAACACATTTGTAGCCTCTTGGCGGGCAGTCAACGGTACCCTGAAAAATAAAGATTTTATCACAAGTTAACCAGCTCCTTTTATATTTCATGTAACAGATCAAGGACCTATGGTGACCTCGTTTATGCACCAAAGGAATTTACTTGATAATCACAGATATTCATGACAATTTAAGAAATGAGTCACTTTTTTAATGTTTACAATTGAATGGAATCGATATGAAGTATCTTTGAAAAAATATTTATATATATTTATTTCATTGTTATTAATATGTGTGTTAACATTTCTTAAAGCATCATGTAATACATAATAAATATGTAATACATAATAAATATTACATATTTATTATTTATATTTTTTATTTATCTATATGTATTTCTCCTTTTTTTTTTGATAATATCATTTAATATTCATCATATAAAAATAACTTGCTACATGTCTCCCCAGTTGGAGGTGGTGGTGGTGGGGGGCGGGGCTTACTCTAATTGATATCTTGGGTTATGCATATTTTGTTTTCCACAAATCTGATTTATCACCAACGCAGAAAGAAACAAAGATATATGTAGTTTTCCATGTCATGCTTACCTCACATAATACTGGGAACTGCAGTCGGTTGGAGCAGGGATACAACTGGCGCACATAGCTACAGAGACAGAAGTTCAAGAATGCCTCGTAAAAAACTGAACTACCATTGTCATTATCGAAGTGGAAGAAACCATTACCATTGTCATGGTTTCCATTTCCGTTGTCATGGTTTCCATTGTCGTTGTCACGAAACCCACTCCCACTGGTACCACCCCGGCTTTGAGTGGAGCTGGATACACGAGTTGTCCCTCCAATTGTTCTGCTTTGGCTTGTCCCACTTACTCGTACAGGTCCGTTGCCGTTATCAAAACCATTGTCGTTGCCATTCCCATTTCCGTTGTCATGAAAGCCATTGTCATTGCCGTTGTCACGGAAACCACTCCTACTGGTACCACCCCGGCTTTGAGTGGAGCTGGATACACGAGTTGTCCCTCCACTTGTTCTGCTTTGGCTTGCAACACCTACTCGTACAGGTCCGTTGCCGTTATCAAAACCATTGTCGTTGCCATTCCCATTTCCGTTGTCATGGAAGCCATTGTCATTGCCGTTGTCACGGAAGCCATTGCCATTGCCGTTGTCACGGAAACCACTCCCACTGGTACCACCCCGGCTCTGAGTGGGACTAGAAACACGAGTTGTCCCTCCACTTGTTCTACTTTGGCTTGCGCCAGCTACTGGTAGAGGCCCGTTTCCGTTATCAAAACCATTGTCGTGGCCATTACCATTGCCGTTGTCACGGAAGCCATTCCCATTGCCGTTGTCACGGAAACCATTGCCATTACCGTTATCACGGAAACTACTCCCACTGGTACCACCCCGGCTCTGAGTGGGGCTAGAAACACGAGTTGTCCCTCCACTTGCTCTACTTTGACTACTTGCACCACTTACTCGTACCGGCCCGTTGCCGTTATCAAAACTATTACCATTCCCGTTTCCGTTGTCACGGAAACCATTGCCATTTCCGTTGTCGCGAAAGCCATTCCCGTTACCGTTGTCACGGAAACCATTCCCGTTACCGTTGTCACGGAAATTATCGCCGTTCCCGTTGTTTTGTCGCCTGCTGCCAGATTGAGCACCCCCAGACGCACTGCCTTGTGTGAAACCTCCGCCAGATCGACTTATGGCTGCGCTTTGCCCGGTGCCGCCGCTTCCTCCTGCCGACCCTGTGCTAACAGCGGTATTGCCAGTCACGCTCCTGGCACGGCTTTGACTATTCCCACTGCTTCCACTCTGCCCATTGCCGTTGTTGTTGTTGCGACTAGTCAAACCGAAAAGGTAGTTGAGAAGGTTAACGGGAACTCGGAGGTTGTTTGAAACCATAGGTAGGTTGCCTTGTCCCGCTATGGGCACCACGCCCTAGATTCAAGGGAAAATGAAAATTCGTTGGTTTATATAACAGCCCGATAAATCTGCTTCTTAAGTGCCAGAGATCTGTTTGAAATCTGAAGCATACTGTGTATACTGGTGGTAATTTACTTATCTGTGTAGTCTGTTGATCTTGTCATAAGATTAAACTTTTCATTTTTCTACATTACAATAAAACTGTACCTTTATTTTCTGGATAAAGGCACACGTTGGCAAAACAATCAACGAGATCACCTGGTTTCATAACAATAACCTGTTCTACTAAGGCCTGTTCTTACCTTAGATTGTCTAAGTCTGCTATCATGAGATAATATAGGGATATAAGTACCTATTTGTATAATTCTGTATGTCAGTCGTTAATAATGAAGATAAAAGTCGTTTAAGGTGTTCAGGGTATCTCATACCATATGTTGATTTGTTCATTTTACAATGAATAGTAATTGCAAAAATATGTGCACTACCTATACGATAACGTTTAAAATAAAAAAAAAAGATTCGTTTGACTCACAAGAGACACTGGATATGGTATAAAAGAATATGGTAAAATTCGGATAAACACCAACCAATTACCTTGGTGAAGGCAGCAAATCCAACGAAGGCAATCAGAGCTAAGAGTTTCCCATGCATCATTAACTACTCTCCGAAAGAATGACTCAAGAGGCAGGTGGTGTGACTTTATGTGTAGAACTACGATCTTCTCGCATCTACATGCTACGTGGTATACATTATCATGTGTTCAGCAAGGTGAAACGGTCTACTAATACTTATATATCATTGTTCACGCCGAGACGTTGCACGCACGCACTCGTGCGAATATCTGATTAAAGGACAGGTAAAAAATTCAGGCGACTTTTGCGTCACAAAGTAGATTTGACAAAATGACATTGTATTTTCATCATTAGTGTTTAGAAATAATTGAAAACCGTAATCACCCATGCAGGCTCACAAAAAAAA